TCGAGATCGGCCTAGAGGTGAACACATCAAAAACGAAAACCTTTGTGACAGTCCTGATTCATCCCGAAAATGCTTTACTACTAAACGGTGAGCCAATCGAATCCGTCGAAAGCTTAAGTACCTGTGCTCAATCATAATCCTCAACGACCAAGCTAAAGCCCAGGTGCAAGTGCAAGTCAATGCTGCAAGAAAAGCGCTTTTACAGCTGAAGAATTCCCTTTTGCGTAGAAATCAAATCAGCCTCAAGACAAAAATCCGAGTTTTTTCCTCAGAAGTCCGTTCTGTCTTGCCTTACGGCTGTGAAACCTGGCGACTCAGAGTCGAAGGCTGTAGGCGATTAGAATTCTTCGATCGCCGGTGCCTAAGAATCATTCTGAGACTACGACGAAGGGATCACCTCTCAAATGAAGCGGTCAGAAATCGGTGTTTTAATCTTGCATGGCTGCGGACGCTAATACAACGGCGACGACTACAATGGTTTGGTCACGTTCTTAGTAAATCTGATAACGACCTGACCAAAGCTGTCTTGGCACCGCCTCGCTATCGGAACTGGCGCTGTCGACACGGTGGGCAGCTGAAAACCTTGGTCTCTGCTTCATCTACGGCATTCGCAAATGGGAGTCTAGCTGGATCACAATCTGTGCCGATCTTGCCACAGATCATCGAGCGTGAGCAGCGGGAATCCGGGATATCCATGAAGCCGGCTTATCCTTTCCCAGGAGCCAGCCGCTGTAAAGTAAAGTAAGTAAGTCGCCTAGAAACATGGTTATATCCCCGATAATTCAGAGACAAATTAGTTTAATGCGTCCCAGACAAGAACAGTTATGTTCAGTTTCAGTTTGAACGACCATCAATTATGCAATTTCGTGCGCCGGTTTTGTTGCTCTCTTTTGGCTGCCCGTTGGATGAATAATGGGAGAAGAACAGGAAAGTTGAATGTAGAGTCGAAGAGAAAATTGAGATCTCCAGTAAACTATGGCTTCAAAGAAATTGAGAAGATGCAAGAATGCCACTGTTTACGACACCCAGTCATATTATTCAATGTCCCTAACCATCGGGTACGATCTTATCGAGATCCCAAGTCAGGGAGCCTAACGGGATCTATGTGACCCAGTCCTCTGGTCAGGGTTTTCATACCCTCGTGCCAGGTCTTAGCCTGGCCACCCTTGCTTTTCTTACACCCACTACTTGCCTCGGCGAACGTCGCTCACTGTGGCAACCTATCTAGTGATATGCGTACCACATGCCGCAACCAACGTAATCTATGAAGGTCGATCACTTGCTCCAGTGGGCGACCGCGGATACTCAAAACTCTACCCCTAACCTCAGCATTGTTCGTCCGGCTACCCCATCAGATTCGTGTAATGCTGCGTAGACACCGGTGTTCAAACACCGATAGTCTGTCTTTGTCCTGTTTTCTTAATGGCCAGGTTTCTGCTCCATATAGCAGAACTGGCCGAACTGCTGGGGCCTACACTCGACCCTTTACAGACAACCGGATGTCGCGACGGCGCCACAGATATCTCAAGTTGGTAAATGCCAAATGTATGCGAGCTGACACTTCATCCGTGATGCGTCGACCGGGTGAGATGTAGCTGCCTAAATAACAAAACTTATCCACTTGCTCTATTACTTCTCCAGTTAGAGTGAGGCCCGGTGCTGAACAGTTATGTGGAAAGAGAGTTTGTCTCGCACATATTATCGTATAATAAGGTGTACTTGTATTAATATTATTTTCGAATTCTCACTTTTTTTAGCTTCGGCAGAATGGAACCCTCGGAAGTACCGTATGAACGATACGTGGATGATGAAAACGAGCTGAACGAGCCTCGTGGTACGTTATGTGGCTATTTACACCCTGACACCTGCTTCTCAAACCCCCTCCTCTTCCGACTTGTCATTTCTAGGTTGTGGAAACTCGTTAGCCTGTGATCCACTTCGATGGTTGCATCGTTATTTGATGCTATTTTTCATCTGTTTTCTCTCATTCGGAAGCTATTTCTGTTACGACAATCCAGCCGCATTGCAAGATGTGATGATTCGCGATCTGGATCTCACGGAGACACAATTCATGAACATGTACGCGTTCTACTCATGGCCGAATGTGATCTTGAGTTTTGTTGGCGGTTTCCTCATTGATCGGGTATTCGGAATCTCATTGGGTGCGATCATTTTCTCCATTTTTGTCCTCGCTGGCCAAATCCTGTTCGGGGCGGGAGCGTTGGCTAACAGTATTTGGTTGATCTATTTCGCCCGATTCCTGTTCGGGATCGGTGGGGAGTCGTTGGCCGTGGCTCAGAACACATACACGACCGAGTGGTTTCCACCGACCGAATTGAATTTTGTATTCGGTTTGCAGTTGAGTATGGCTCGTGTTGGGTCCACTGTGAATATGGTCACCATGCAATTGCTCTATCGGGCCGTGGGCGATTCGTTTCAAATACTGGGTCACAAACGTCTCGGAGCGGCTCTATTAATCGCAGCAGTAACATGTCTCTATTCCACACTGTGTGCAACGATTCTGGCCTATTTCACTCGAAGGTACGTGTGTGTGTGTAGGAGATAAGGTGTGTAAGATAGTAGGCTGTACATGAGACCACTCCTCGTTGTTTCACTCCTGTTCATACCATATGTACTAGCACACAAAAATGCACTGGCTCGGTTTTCAATCCGTTTTGTTCTGGTCTGTGGTCCTTGGACTAAAAGAAACTTTTTTCGAACGGAGTAAAAGAACAATCAGGTTGTGGAGATTTACCTGTGTAATAATTAGCAAACCAGTTGATACTTAGGTCGAGGAATACTACAGTTATTTGACAAAGGCTGAATAACGACGGGAAACATTGTAGATGAGTGGGATGAACAATGGTACAAATTGCTCGTAGGTAATGTGCGCATAAACTTCGCTGTTATTTGGGTGATCAGGCTGTGTAATAGATACAGTTAAGTGCTTTTCCTGCGTTGCGGATTCATCACTGTATTTTGCTGTGCCTGTTGGTCAGAGTGCTTTACTTTGTTTCTCCATAATTGGTTTGGATTTACACCCAAATTAGTGAAACACTCATGTTTTCTCTTGAAGTAAATCACCTAATATATATATATATATATATATATATATATATGAATTGAACACACGTCTGAGTTCAGACAGTGTGCCAAACGAATTACGATACAATAATCTTTATAAAAATAAAACGGTCCATGGATATACTCGAGGGCATGGTACTGCCAGGTTGCCCGGGCCAAAGGCAGGTGAATTTTCTTGAGGAATTCACAACCGGTGCGTTCGGCTAGCCAAAGCCTGACCCACAAGACAACGGGGCGATTTGAAAACCGCAGTCCATTGGGAGCCGCTGTCCAGTTCATCGAATCATACGCCCTTCGGACGGGATCGGACGTCCAAGGAGTCCAATACACCGCTATACTCACTCAAGTCAGTGACCCTTACCACAACCAGGGCAGTGTGTACATNCTCTTCTTGTTTGGTTTGGAATCAGGATGTTTTGGCCAACTCCCTTAAGTGAACTGCCAGTGGTTCATCGACCCGATTATAGCCCCGGATTTTGGTTTTTCGTCCTCTCACTTTGGTAGTGGAAAAAACACCTCTTCCACGAGAAGGCATTGAGTAGGGTTTCCTTAGCAGAAGCTATCTGAGACGCTTAGTCGTGTAGGAACGTTTCGTGAGATTCAAGGGAAGGTTAACTTGCCCCAACCCCGACTATACTGAAGCTTTCGGTGGCACGTAATAGAAAAATGTAATCGACAGTCACCAAGATCTGCCTTTGTTTATCATAAATCGGCAATCTAAATCCTAAGACAAAGACTAATCAACCATGCAGGGCTGCAATAGGATAGACGTATTATTAATCTGAGTGATGATGATTATCTGTCATCAGAATTGGTTAATACTGGTAGGGGTATTCAATGAGATTCGGCGAAATGGGTCAACCTCACAAATTTTGCATCCGGATTTCGCTATTTTCCCTATTACCCGATCGGTGAGTCACTGTTAGTTCACCTAAGGGAGATGACTAAAAATACCGATTCCAAACCAACCAAGAAGAGGCGTACGAACCACACCCACCCACAGCTTCCTGGTCGTGGGCAGTGGTCACCGGCTCAATTGGGCAACTTGGACGTTTGACCCCATCCAAAGGGCCTGTAATGCAAATGAAACGGACACCAGCTCCCAGTGGATTGAGGTTTTTCATCCGCTGCCTTTCGGGTCACATTTTGCTGGTCAAAACCTTCTGGCTGTAAATTCCCCCAGGATATCCCCCTGCTTCAGTCGCACATTCATTCTGTAGTCACTTGTTATACAGAAACCAACTATTCAAGTAGTCGCGCGAAAAAATCCTAACCCAGGAATTTTGTTTTTATCGGAATCCGTATGGTTTTAGACGCGTGTAGAAGTTTTATTACATAAGACAACACAGAGCATTCTGCTACCACACTACTTCATCGTACAATACCCTCCTTCCCCTCTCAGCAACACCACCTCATCATCAATGTGTATGTTTCAATCACATCTGCAGAGCCAAACGAATCACCAAAAGGCATCAGGATCGCTTAGATGCTGCTGCTGCTGCCGCTGCTGGGACATCATTAGACGAGTCATCTCAACCGGACACACCTCGGCCGATTTCGTTTCGCGATATCTTGCACTTTCCCGTGGCTATTTGGCTGATTTGTGTCATTTGTGTGGCCTACTACGTGACCGTATTCCCATTTGTTAGTTTGGGCCTGGTCTTTTTCGAACGTGAGTCTTTTCTGTCCGACTGTCCATGTGTGTGTCTTTGTTGGTTATTTTTCTTCCGTGAATCGCTCACTCATGAGCAAAAATAAATAAAAGTGCTCTTTTGCTAACTTTAAAAAATTCCGGTCTTACTTGCGATCCTCGTGGTCATTGTAGTTCGTGAATCCACGTCTTACTCACGTGATACTACCATCATTAGGGTGGTAGTGGCGCAGTGGTTTAGTCGCTGCCACAGAACCCTATGGTCCGAGGTTCGAGCCCCGCCACCGCCACCCAACTTTGGTGGCAGGCAACCTTGCTGTCGTCCGGTTCAATACCACGCCTAACCTATCGGGGCCTTATGTGCTTCACCACTCCAAGTCCCGGGGCTTAGGTTACCGGTTTCCATCACTGAACAGCAGGTCTTCGTGACGATGGGGTTCGCCCCGTCTGCTGTTCATCACACGAAAAAGTGTGTAATAAAAAAAAGATAGATTTCAACTGGCGATTGTATCGCGGATGAAGTATAAGTGGGTATATCGAAGGTTCGGTTGGTATTTGCCAACTTGGGATACCTTTTAGCATCGTCGCAAAATCAATCTGTCAGTAAAGTATCGAATGTATGCTACAGAAGTTCGACCAGTGGTGCCATACGGAGGGAGGGGGGTAGGATAAGCGTGAGTTGTCGATGTTCGAACACTACTGACTACACCACATTGTATGAGTCTGCTAAGGAAATCGGAGAGGCCAGACCGAGATTATTCGTAGAGTTTTGGATCATCACATTTATCTCACTAGAGCAAACTGTTCGTCTCCATAGGCTACGTTGATTGGAACAGATGCTTCTTCTGTCACGAAATAGATTGTAACAATGTGCGATGTTTGCCAAGGTAAGTATTGGGAAGAAAAATGTCATGGGTGGTCAGACTATGACATGGAATGATAGTATAAATATCCTGATCAGAAAAATTGCTTATGTAGG